GTCTTGGTTTTAATATTAGATATTTTATCATATATTCAATTAATTACACTCTGAATATTTGAATAAGAACGTACAAGTATGAGCGAAAGCCAATTATCACAATCAGCATTATCAAAGAGAGAGGAAAGACCTAGGCAAGACCGCTTCATAAGGTGCGCAAAGGTGTGCAGATTGTATGCGACACTCAAGTGGTTTCTGCTATTAGATATAAGTGTGTACATCAGAAGTATTCCTTGCCAAATCCCATGGTTACCTTATTTAGAGAACAGCTTATGGGTTTCAAAAGAAAAATATAACACCTAGGATCCTTAAGTGAGGAAAACAAAAAACAACAATGATAGGAGAGAAATGTGTTTTATGGTTCTCCTGGAAAATGTTGCGTTTATGAGTATTGAGTGCGGATCAGGAAAGACACGATGCCAAGCCAAAGCCAAAGCCAAGCAGAAATTGGAAATCGAAATCGAAATCCCTTAATCGCATTGTGTTGTCGATTGGTCAAGAGGGACGCATTTGGTTTTTCATTTTGTCCTTGTCATCCTTCATTGAGAAATTGAAATGTTTTGCAAACAGTCGATAAGATTGAGATTTCGCCAAAATTAAGCCTCTCTTTGTTTTCCCTTTGACTTATTGCACTACCAAATGGACTTGCATCCCATTTTGTAATTCCACTTATTCTCAATAAGGATAGATACATTCTTCCTATCTTTATCTTAAACGAAACGACTGGACTTCAGGACTAGCTTCTTATATGAACATTATATTGCCGCTAACTAAGTGAGCTCAGAGTATATTGATTGTGTGCAATTTGTCTCATGTCTGTCATTATTGGGTATTATTGGAGGCAGAGGACGTACTAAACGGTCGATAAACTCATCCGAAAATTTGTTTAGATACATTGCGTACGCCCTCTGGAAAAATGGGTAATCAGGAAAGTAGCGTGTCAAATCTTCAAAATTGGATTAGCAAGTTTGTAACCGATTCCCTTCTCGATAGAGGACTTAAAAATAATCAATGCAAAACAACCAAATCTGCAACATCTGCAACCTAAGAATTAGAATAGAGAGCTAGGTGTACTACTGAGTTCTATACAGTAATATCTCCCCTCATTACGGAAATAGAGTGGAGTATAGTTATATATATTATTTGGTTATCAAAATATATTGTTAAGAACATTTTTAACGACATAATATTTATAACAAAAATAATAATAATATTTGAACTCCTTATTAAATGCTATTTAATATTATCGGGTGCGGGGTATCCCCTAGTCAGCAACTTTCAGTCAAAGCACGATTGCTTGTTTTAGACTGTGGCTGTGTAATTGATAAAAATGCTTATAATATTTTACCCTAAGGTGTTTCGACTCTTTGAAACCTGTTCCTCACACAATACAGCGCAGTCAACGCGTGGTCGACTAAGTGAGACAGATATAGAAAACACACAGGCAAGAGGCAATATGTCAGCAGCGACAAAAGTCAAGGGTGAAAAGAAACGTTCAGCTGTGTGTACTGTTCAAACCGTTCAGCTGCGAGTATGTGTGTATGTGTGCTTGTGCGTGAACTTGTGTGAGTAAAAGCGGAGAAAACGAACGTGATTGGCTGCACGAATTGTAGCCCTGTGCGGCAGGCAATGCGAGCGCCAATCACATACCATGCAGACGAATGTAGGCGGTGCTTGTGCGACCATATATACTAAGCAACCCTGAGTAAATCGTGCGGCCTGTTATCCATTTTTCAAACGCACAGGCACAAGGTAATTTTGGCTTACTCACCCAGACCCAGTTGAAACTCAGTGCCGAACACACGCACAATTTTGCAGCTGAATGCAAGTTATTTGTCGGAGTTTGTCTATTATTTGCCTGCTGCACCGCGGATAGTTGCAAACTAATTTTCGACCGATCGATAAGACTTGTGATACATATACAGTGATATATATATATATATATATGGTGCGTCAAATATCTCAGTGAATTAAAATTAAGAATTAGTAACAAATTTCAAAATTATATTTACACACACATGCATATATATATATATATATATATATATATATATATATATATTTATGTGTATACATATTATGTATAAATTATGTAATACTTTGAGCATATTAAGTGACTTTAGTGAAGATAACTGAACAATTATATGTTAAGCATGCTAAAAACTGGATTTCGAATAATTAACAGTGAAAATATTATCAATGGAAATTTCATATTACTATGTTTATATTTATGCTTCCAATTGCGATAAATAAAATGATATATATAGCATATATGCATATGTATAGTTAAAGTTTGGTCGTTGAACACGTCGACATGTTGAAAACTCTCAGTATGCCGTCCCATCCAGTCCAGTCTAGGCTAGCTAGTCAATATTCCTGATAAGAACAAAGTGCAGAGTTGATCTGTACTATTTCTTTTGCTTGAAATATGCGCATTGTTACAAGTATATCGTTTTTGATACCTCCCCACATTGGCATCATGGTGTGTTGGTTACGACGTACAAGCATATGAACAAATGTAAGCAGAAAGCAAAGAGTGAGTGAAATTCCATCGCACCGCATGGTTCCGGGTCCTCCCAGTTGGGCATTGCTGGCTTTAAGTTTGATTTAACAGCCAGTATCCTTTGAATCTAATATAATAATATATATTTTAGACTGAAAGCTCGAGCTATTGTTCGTTTATATAGTTATGATCCAATTTTTGGGATTGAAATTATGTCTCCAAAGTTGGAGAGTAATCACGCGACGGGATGGTGGTACCAGCAGCGTATGTCGCTATAAGCATGTTAGGCTTGGAGGCATGAGCTCATGCTCATCTATTCATATACATATAGATTAGATGACGCTCTATGAAAATTACATGGGATATTTAGTCCGTTGCAATGTATTATTCAGTATTATATTCACTAATATATTCAATATCTATCAGCGAGGGTTGAGTAAATTGCTACAGCATAGAACAATATATTAATTATAATTTTAATTTGTTATAATTATAATACATACATATATTATATGCGTATATATGTGTTCCTTTGGTAAACTTTACAGGTTTGACCTTAAATTGATTTCAGCTATCAGGCGTTAACTTCTGAAAAGAATTTGTGAATTTGTATACACCCCAGAGTCTGTTCCTCTGTCTGACCGTCCACATAAGCCCAATCCGATCTCCAGTCTTAATGGTTCTGTCCTCGCTTTCAATAAAGTACTTCTGTTCGGTGATTTAGTATAGGGTACGCAGGGTATTACCACAGTAGATCGATCCCAGCTGGCAGGGAAACATTGGAACTGAAGTACAGTCCGAAAAGAAGAGTGGGTGGGTCAGTAAAAATAATAAGCGAAGCCAGATAGTCAACATATTCAAAGAAACTTCAAAACGATTAGCATAAAAATAATAATAATAAAAGAAGAACACAATAAACGCACCTCTGAGCATTCAAATTGTTGTGCATTCAATGCTGATACTCCATTGATGTATGTATATGTATTATAATACATAAAGACAATGTTCGACTGAACATGCTGACGAACTACTTAGGAAAGACGGCCATGTATAACCGTCGAGAGAGGCTTCAAGTGTGTTTTTATTATATCAAGCGTTAAAACGAGAAACACGGCCATCACTTTGCAAGTGACATCAAGTGGAGCTCTCACTAACATAAATATACCGAAGATATACAGAGCAAGATTGATCTTTGGTATCTTGAATCCATTGACCCCCCACACGGAGGTGCGACCGACCGACCGGCCGACCAGACTGAGTAGACTGAGTAGAATTAAGTAATCTAGGAAAAGGAATAATAATAATAGTTGAATATAAACAAGTATATAGAGATTTGCTGATTGTTCTTTGATATAATGCATTGAATTCTATGTTATTAGGACTGACACCAATGCGCAAACATTGAGATTAAGCTAACATAGATTATCATATTCGAGACGAAGACAGGGCAGGGGTGTGGGAATAGGGCAACAGTGTGCTAGCAGCGAAGCATTGAGTATGGCGCATGGAGAAAGAAATACTCAATGAAGTAAATTTCATTCAATGTGACCTATTCTATCTATTCTTATTCCACTGCTCTGTGAGCTCGTGCCTTGAACTTGGATGAGAAAGCCCGGTAGCACATTTCTATGATATCGATTAGGAACATTATCGATTATCGTTGTCGTTATCCTGCATTCAGCTATTAGTTTCGTATAGTAATAGTACGAAAATGTATGTAACACTCAAAAAAAAAAAACACTCAGAAATTTATAAACTCGTGATCGAAGAACTTAATGAGGCAATGAGGCAAAGGTGTGGCCATCGCATATACACACACACACAAACATAAATAAATTTTTATACCCTGAACCCATCGAAAATTGGAAATCATGGTATAATGACAGTACCTTATAAACTATATATATATTCTTGATTAGGACGAAAATACGAATCGCTTTAGCTTAACCTCTCTGTCCGTTCTTCCGTTTCTCCGTCTGTCCGTGTGTCCGTATGAACACGTCGATCGCAGCACCTATAAGAGCTAGAGACTGGAATAACTGTACCGGTTTTATTGTTATGGGAAATCATATGAAAACAGATCGAACTGGGCTGAGGGTAATTCTTAGTCGTAGTAAAAGCTGAAATGTTTGGTCGAGGTCTCGATTCAAATTCTCTTGCCATGTCGCAATTCTTTTTTTCTTTTCAGTCTTAAGGTGGATAGAATTTGCCATTACCCATTCAAAGACTAGTCAAAGATCGGCTCATTCTTCTTTTATCTCGCCTGCGCTTTACGCATATTCAAATTTGAGATATTTTCAAGCATATTTAAGGACAGTATGGGTTAAGAATAAGTTGTCTTCAATAATAGTGGGATATATTCTGAGAATTTATTTTTCTTCTGTTGGGATTTGTTGTTTTCAGTTATAAACTGGGAGAATTTGGGAGGGACACACTCAACTGGAAAATGTTACCCAACTGAACAAGAGAAGCGCGTAGAACAACTCCCACAGAACAGATGGCAAACGCAGAGCTGGTTCAATCTCGTTCCTCTTCGCCCGGTGGCGTGCAGCAAGACTTAAATCTCAAGCCACACTTTGTTGGTGGGATCTATGCAACTGCTACTGCATCTAGTCCTGTGGCGCCCACACGACAGACGTCTCCACAAGCAACGTCCATGGCATTGGAGCAGTATCGACTGCAGCTCTACAACTATGCCTTGAACATTGAGCGGTTAAGGTGTCCGCCGTACGCGACAGCCGGAGTCACGGGCGCGGGAGGTCTGCCCTCATGGCTGCATCCGTACAGCGGGCATGCCGTTGGTGGGAGCGGCGGCAACCGATTGGCCACGCTTTCGACAATCTCGCTGTTCCCGCAGTCGCAGCGCATCTTTCAGCCGGAGGAGCCGAAGCCGCAGCACAGCTACATTGGATTGATTGCAATGGCCATCCTCAGCTCCGCGGAGATGAAGCTGGTGCTATCAGACATTTATCAATACATACTGGATAACTATCCCTACTTTCGAACACGTGGTCCCGGCTGGCGCAACTCCATACGGCACAATCTCTCGCTGAACGACTGCTTCATCAAGTCGGGCCGGAGCGCAAATGGCAAAGGTCACTACTGGGCTATACATCCGGCCAACATGGATGACTTCCGCAAAGGCGACTTTCGACGGCGCAAGGCACAGCGCAAAGTGCGTCGCCACATGGGCTTATCTATCGACGATGCCAGCACAGATTCGCCCAGTCCGCCGCCATTGGACCTGACCACGCCGCCCCCTGTCTTGCCGCCAGCGACTGCAGCGCAAGCGTCAATTCAGTTAGCGGCTCTCAACTATCCCTATCATCAGCATTACATTGGTCAGTTCTTTGGACGCACTCCCTACTCCAGCCAGGGTACAGGCGCTCAGCAGCAGAGCCTGGAGCCCGGCTACCAGCTAGCCCAGCATCAGCATCATCCAATTCGACATTCGCATTCACATCCACATCCCCATTCTATGCCGCATCAGGTTCCGCATCAACATCAACATCAGCATCAGCATCAGCATCAGCATCAACATCAACATATTGCGTATATCAATTCGACGACGACGACGACAATTGCAAATTTATATTCGCAGACGCGGAAACGTCAGTTCGATGTTGCATCGCTGCTAGCGCCGGATGTACACATTGTGGACATAGTGGAGGATGAGGATTCGTCGACTCAGCATACGGTAATCACAAAGGTGCAAGTAAAGAAGCAACAACTAATCCATCGAGAGTTGCTTGCGGAGCAACCAAATCCGAATCCAAATCCAAGCTCAGCTGCAACTGTAGCTGATGCAGATGTGGATGCAGATATTGATGTGGATGGAGACGGTGATGGAGATGGGCAGCAGTCTGGAGGAGGGCAGCGTTTGCTCTCGCCTGATGACAATAATTCGTACCTTAGCGATGCCAGGCAATCACTGTTCGATGCGGACATTGCCGAGCAAGGACAGGAACCGGAACAGGAACATGAACAGGAGCCACATCATTTCCCCGTTTCCGTTTCACCAACCTTGGGCAGCTCCGTGGCAAGCAGCCAGCACGATTCCAATTCTTTAGAGGAATGCCCACCCGGGGCCACATCTAGTCCTGAGTCCTCGACCATGTCCACCATGTCCCTGTCCCTTAATAACGTCGATCCACAGATCTTGAGCCGATACTATGGAACCTATATGGCAGCCGCAGCTAGGCGCGCCACTCTGCAGGCGTCATCCAGAGCCCAATCTAAAAATGTGGCAAAGCCAACGCCTCAGCTCCCGCCCATTGAACTGTTACCTAATAAATCCTAGACTTTTTCATACGTACATACACAAGAAGTAGTCACAGAACCCACCCGGAGTTTTCAATGGATGACACGAATGTCACTCAAGAAATAAATAAATGTAAATTAAAGTTATTAATTAATTCTATTGTTATATTAGTTTGATACTCAGCTCCTGTACATACACACACGCACACACACACACATCTATATGTCTATATATATATATATATATATATATATATATATATATGGGTATGTACATATATAAGGCCATTCAAAACGAACTCATTTATTAAAAGAATCATGTGAAAAGTATAAATAAATTCCTAGCCCTAACGGTTCATGTGAACAACTCTGCAGTTTTATTAAAACATTGCCGAAAAAAAATGCCAAGTCGAGTATCCTTAACAGCACCAATTGAGTTGTCAAGCAACTCACGCATCGCGAAGCGGTCTTTTGTTAGTGTATTTTATATTAATATTTACATTGCATTCTCTCTACGGCTGAAGAGATAATGATATTTTAGGAGAGGGAGGGGAGAAAAGAAGCGGAGCTGCTCATTGCGTAGCCTAATGAGATTATTAACAGATTGTGCAAAGCAGACATTTAACTTAACTGACTCAATTGGCAATGTTAACTGACAGTTTTTTGTGATGTCACACGTCTCTCATCTGATGTCTAGCGGGCTCTTAGAATTCCGCCAAATGCTCCAAAGCAATCAAAATAAAGTATTTATCAGCGAATTCCAAAAGTCAGCGTCATTAAAATGATCAGTTCATAAAATAAGCAGTCCATGGCTAAGGCCCTGCTGCAGAAGCAGGCAACATTATGATAACAGTCGTTAACGGGCAGAGTTAACTGCGTTTTCCGCATGAACAATCCTCACTTACGTTAATTCAACTGAGCATAAAGACATTATGTAAGGTAAATATAATCCGCCTGAAAGAGCTTTGGAAATCTTGGCAGATGCTAAAATTGAAATATTGAAGTTTGCAACTTTTAACTTTTAGACATTGATAAGCTACTGATCAACTTGCTGTTAGCTGCAAGTTTCGGATTTGAAGCTATTGAGCCTTAGATGTCACCAAATGGATCCGAGATCTAGAGGATACCCTGAAGTCCTTTAGTTACCTGCGGTCGTTTGATTGAACAAATAGCTGCTGATCTCTCCTGAAATCAACTCCCATCCACTGAATTGCAGTGATCCAGGGAATAATGGATTTGTATTCCTGGGCAAAATCCAACATGCCATAGGCATCTTCAAGCAAACAGTGTTCTGCCGAAGAGTCCTACAAATTTTCAATGATTTTAGCTGGAGACCGATGCATGGTCTTAAATAAACGTTTACTCTTTGAAGCTCATTACTGTCCTTAATCCACTTGATTCCATAAGACCAGTCAAGTGAACCCCAATTTGACAAATCGCATATCGAAGACAACACAAAAAATATAATCCGAATCCTATCTGAACATATGTAGAATCTGGGTCGATTCCCTATCAGGTTGGCCGAGTTGTAAAGTCCTTCTGTTGAGCATGAATCGATTATGTATGTAATCGATACATAATTAGCAGAAAGACTTAACTTCTGCTAATTATGTATCGATTATGTCTGTTAAGTATATGGCAACGCTGTAAGTGGGTGATAATAAACTGTTAGTGAACTTACATATATCTTTTGTGTTCTGTTATTAGGTTTGAGATTACGCGCGTACCTACTCCGAGCTCTGGCTATTGGTACAGTCATACCGTCAACTCAACAGATCTTTATGTTCAATTGTGTAGCTCAATTGGTAACGGCTGTATTAACAGCATCTTACTTAATATCATCTTATCATCTTAATCAGCTTCTGAGTCTCTCTAGTGTTTGTTTAAATGCACTTAAGATAGCAATTTTATTTACTGTTGCATTCAATGTAATTTATTCTCCAAGACCATCTAAATACTTCTTCTTTACATTTGATGCATATATATTAAAAACAATAGGTGCTCAAACTCAATAAAAGTATATGTTTCTTTACTGAGTATATTAATGTAGGTTTAAAAGGTACATAAAAAGTACACGTTCTGCGGCATATCGAAGACTCAAACCTAACATTCTTAGCAAAACGTAAGATTTGTGTAATGGACGAAGTTGCTGGCGGCGCATTACGTTGGAAAGAGCAGACGAGTTGCTTCCAATGTGAACTAACAGCTCAGTTCTGTACTCTGTTATTATATTTGAATTTCGAGCTCTCACAAGTGGCTACATACAATCAAAACAATTAAAATAATGTCGAAGTTGATAAGTATTTCAGGTAAAAACAGCCATATAGTCATAGTGCACATTTTTTGTGGGCTTGTTAGCACGATAGCTATGATTCGAAGCAAGGCTACTGTTTCACTTTCAAAATAGACAGAAAAATATGTTTGGTTTGAAACTCTGATATATAGACGCTTTTACTGTGAATAAGAAAAGTTCCGTACTTTATCGAAGGTTCGAACCCTTTGTTGAACAAACTACCATCTACAAATTTAAATATATAGGGTTTGTGCCCTAGATAATGTTGCCGCCAGGTAGCGCTTTACGGTGGCTAAGAAAACGAAAGACATTAAAAATAGAAGTTATGTAGTGCACATTCAAGAACAAGCTATAGTTAATTTAATAGTTCAGGTAGAAGGTATGGAATACATGGAAGGCTATGTATACGTCGGCCATTTGCCAGATGAGGTCTACACCGCCCTGATTGGCACAGTCAAAATGTGTCCAACGTTGCCACCTGACAAAAAATACCGAATTCTACTGAAAGGTAATGTTGAAATTGTACTCGCAATAACTATAGGACTATATATATCCGTATACATATGTCCGTATGCTGATCTATTTGCAAACTAATCTTTCAAGTCGAACGAGTTGTTTGGAAGTCGATGTCTATCTGTCCGCAGCATATACCCAACTACGCTGACATCGGATCGAAATCCCTGGAAAAAAAATGGTAGTCCAGTTAGACAAAACTAAATATGCATGCAAATATGCACATACACCTGTGTATATTCTGGGCGCACGGTATTTACATAACGCCCCTTTATTGAATTTCAAAAATGGGAAATGTATAGTATTTGATACAATTAGTTAAAGATATGTTTGCAAAATGTACTTAAATGCATCACAGTGTTTTCATAATTTAGGGATAAATATACTATTCACGCCTCTGCAAAGGGTCAAAAACCGGTTCCAAGAGTCCATACATGCCGTATATGACAACCCGCTCTCTGGGCGTGGCCAAGTGATGTCAATAAACTAACTATTGGTCGTCAATGGCCAGTGCGAGCTCTTATTGGTTAGATTGCTGTCTGCCTCGCTCTCCTTCTCTCTCTCTCTCTCTCTCTCCCTTTCTCTCGCTCTCTGCCGTCGTAGCTCCAACATTGATTACGCAATATGCGCTCTTTTGCTAGAAGAGACAAAACCTAAAGAGATGTTCGTGAAAAATAATAAAATGCACAGCAACAATAACATCCCGAGTCTGTGTACGAATAGTAATACGAAGACAAATGCGAAACCGAAACCGAAACGAAAATTAAAACCCGAATGGAGCAGCATCTCTTAAATCAGATGTGAAGCCGAAGAGCCGCAGAGCCGAAGAGTAGCCCTTTTGCAGTCGCATCGCATTGCAGTCCGTTGGATCGGCTGAAGGTGGAAGTAGAAGTGGAATCCAATTGAAATCAGTGACAATTGAACATTGCCACGCAGTGGTGATGGTAGTGGTGGTTAGGCTGTCGCGTCGCTGTTACAGTTTTTGTCGTTATCGTCGACGTTGCTGCTGATGCTGCTCTTGCTGCTAATGCTGCTGCAGTTGTCGGTAAACCGTTTTGCCGCTTGTCCGTTTCACATTACCCGCGTGTACTACGATATCGAAATCGAAATCGAAATCGAACTTTTCGTAATTACAGTAATTAAAATATATTTGAGGCAAATAGCGGCGCAAAAAGGATGTCTAACGCATATGTGTGTGCATGCCTGTGACCACATACGTATTTATATGCTTGTATGTGCGTATATACAATTAGCAGTGATCAAAGTTAGTGAGAAAGAGAGAGAGTGGGAGAGTGAGAGAGTGGATGTGGAAGAGAGAAGACGAGAGCGAAAGCGCACTGGCATAAACGCGGTCTACAAAACTAAATTTGAACTGGCTATGAAAGGTCAAACACTTATCACAACAAACTAAAATGTGTTTCTGTGTCTCCGGCCGCCGAGTCGGCTAATCGACAGAATTTTGATGTTGTCAACTATGACGTCGGAGCGAGAGAGAGAGAGAGATGCCGCAGACCCACTAGGGAAATTGTTGCATTGATCAATATTGCAAGCCTTTCGATCGCCGCCCCATTATATGTTCCATGCCAATACTCTCTTTCGTCTAACCTGTGCATGCAGTAGACTCTGTCAAATGTGAAATGTGACTCAAGAGTGATTCGATTGAACAGTTCTCCAAATAGTGCCATATATATTATATATATATTATAGATTTGAATAATCAATATCTAATAAGTGGACCTAGTCAAATCGATACGAAGGAAAGGAAGATAGAAGAAACGTTGTATATTCATGTATGGAATTACTATACACAGATAAAGCTGCAAAAGCAAAGGTAAGTCGAGGTGAAATCAATAGATGAAGAGATGCAATTGCCGCTATTGTTAATAGATTTACCTAGCAATAGCGAGAGGTAGCCGGATAGAACCATTTCTGAATATAGGTTAAAGTCTTAATGCTCAATACTATTAAGAAATTGATAGTGAAATTAATAAGTATATCACAGTTATAGATATACTTTACGATAACGAAGGACTTTAGTCGTATGCCTACTAATGTATGTATATATAGGGATATTTATATATGGATTTATGTTTCGAAAGAACAAAAATATTTTTCCGTTATACTTTGAGAGGTCTGTGAACTGCGATTCGAAGTATTTGAGCTGCGGATCTGTTTTGCACTTGGCAGCTCTAGCCACTGGCTGCGCGCACAAGCATTGACTGCGACAGGTGTATTTGCCACGCAGACATCTCTTCGCATGGGAAAAGCCTTAGCCGAAGTTCAGCTCCTAAGTTAGATCGTGCGGTCGATGGGAAGACGGTGACTGGTTTCTCTTCTCTTTTTCTTTTCGTTTTTGCTTTTTGTTTTTTGTTTTTTTCTGTAATTGCAAACTTGCCCGCCCGTTTGACTGCGGCACGAAGACGAAGCCAACGAGTCCGACTCATTGCGTCGCGCTTCGTTCCGACTCGTAAGCTAACTACTTACATATACATAACTGTAACCGGGGAGACATGCGGTTAACTTTGTTTTATTTGACTTGGTCCGTGTTTTGATTTGTATCGTTGTTGTTTTTGGTGGCGTTGTTGTTGGTGTTATTGTTATTATTGATGCAGTTAGCTTGACCGGTTGAAATCCTTTATCACACATATCACTCTCAACTCGACTGGTAGTCCGCATTGCTCTGCTTTATGTGTTCAAAAAAGATTTGCAGATGCACTGAAATGAGAGTTCATTCATGCGTACATATGATCAACGATCTCTTAGTTCTGATCAGGCTAGAGTGCCTCTGGAGTTCCCGACTACGAAATACTCTGAATGCCTTGGTTCTTTCTACACAGTCCTCATTGTAGAATATTGAATATTGGACAGTCCGATCTTATGAACACAAAGCTAGAAAAAGCTTGCATTTGCGTGAGCCTTCCATAGGTGTGAAAACTTTGGAAATCATTTCATCATGAGCTGAAATTGTACAGGGTATGGCACAGCCGAGCTACTTTGCACACCTATTTATTTTAGTTGAGACAAAGTCCTAGGTTCCCTAATGATATTACCTCCATACATCTGTCAAGAGGGCTTGTGTTTGTTACTATTTGTTGTTCGGCCGGCTGCTCGTAGTCGATTGTTCGAAGGAGAGTGTCATCGAGAAACGCCATAAATTGTGTACTCGGACCTTGTATTTGCTTGTAATAAGGGCCACGGGCCACATCAAAGAGACAATCAAGACGAAACAATGAATCGAATGCACACACACTCTCTCACACATACACTCTCTCACACACACACTCAGCAGCGATGTCTTCAAGCATTCTTCTCATCTCTTCTTGGGAGATGTAGACAGACGTAAGCCCCATATACTAAATGTTCTAGTGTAAGGAGCGCCTATGAAATGTCCAAAGGCGGCATATTGCCAAAGACGCGTCTATGCGGAAAACAATGACATACTGCGACAGCGACAGTAACAAAATGAAAATAGATACGTACACACACACACTCATACGTATATAAGTGTGAATATATATATATATATATATATATATATATATATGTATATATATATATATATATATATATATATATATATATATATTTAAGTATTTGTGCAGTAGTACGAGTTGAAAGCCAGAACCTGGAGGCGGCTGGCAAGTGTCCGATAAGTGGTCGACGATGACAACAACAGCACCAGCAGCAGCAGCACAAAGGAGCGACAAAGTACAAAATAAATAAATTAAAGTCTACAGTTGGATGTAAGAGACTGCGTAATACTTGTTCACAGGAAAAGCTAAGAATTAAGTTTAGTATCGAAGACATAAAGCTCTGTCTATGAGCAGTGAGGACTTAAAACCTAAAATATATATTCATGTAGATCCGGAACTGAAGGAGCATAGAGTGAGGAAGACCTCCCCTAAATCGGTAAAAGTCGGCTTAAGATCTAACTTCCAAATCTGTCTCTTCAAGGAAGTGTTTCTAGTACTAGTAGCAGCCTAATTATAACAGATATACACATGTAATATCATATGCAACACAGTAAATCCTTCCGTGTCTTTATTGTTCTTTGTAGGCGGATAAGCTATGCTGACTATTCGAATATCTGACTTGCTACCTAGGCAGTGCCCCTTGAACGCTATGTTTGGCGCCGTGTTGTCTGCATGTCAAATTTAATCTCAATTGCCAAATGTGAAAACATCGAAACTACATAAAAACAATGTTGACAAACGGCGCCAGAGTTCGGCTATTCAAGCAAAGACATCAGTACTAAAAAATTATGAAATGAGATCATGACAAAATGCGAAGCAATGTGCACTGGCGGGATGTCCCCAGGCCACGTGTCCGTCCTACGGAGTACTTAGCGATTTGTTTACTGTTTACCTGGGACATCAGCATCAGTGGACGATCGGTTATACCAAATGAAGTAATGTTCTCTAAATGTAACCTGAAATCCTAGTTAAGTCTAATTGATTGGCTGCCTTCATTGTACTACTGATACCATCATGTTTTCGGCTTCAAAAAGGTGAGGTTATGCCCCGCTTCCGAGAGTCAAGTGTGTGTCCTCAAATGCCTAAAAATGAGATGGCTACACTATGCTTGGTCTATGCTGTATGCAGTAATATCTTTTTCAATCTGCTCCGGAAGATACATACATACATACGCATAGGCATAAGGACAGGCACACGCACACGCACACGCACACAAACACATACATATACAGGCAGTCACACTCACACAGACAGTGCTTTGCACGCATGCTCATTAAGCTAAACAGAACTGCGCCAGACATTTAGGGGAGGGGTGGTGTTAAGCGGGGAGGGATGGGAGGGGGCTAGGGAAACGGCGACAGGTTTTTATCCAGTTCTGGGGATCTGGTTAAACTGGACAACGGCTACTATGGAAAGCAAATAAAACAAAATAAGAATAGCGTTTTCTTTGCAAATGAACCTGCGTTTTTAAACAGATTCTAGCTTAACTCAAATCTGGAGTATCTTTCGGCAAATTGATAGACCGAGTGAGAAAATCGATGTGCACAGAGTCGTATATAATTAACGGAACACATTGGAGATTCGAGTTCAGGATATAAAGGGCTTTTACAAATGTCTGTATAAGGCGAAGGCCAAACGAGGCGAGCTTGATCCCATTACGTAAATATTACCGTTTGGGGTCACTGACTTTCCCCTATTTTAAATACATATCTCAATTTTGCATTTGATTTTAGGTATAGTTTTCTCCTTAACAGTTCCATTTCCGATGTTTTAGTTTCGACTGAAGTAGTCAATCTGTTGTTGATCTTGAGGATGCAAGTTTTGTTTGTTTTTAATATTAACATATTAATCAAAGGTTTCGGGTGTATGGGCAGATACTAGCCAGAAAGCTTCAAGGGTTAACCTGGCCGAGCCGAGTGGCTTTCAGTATCATAGAGTCGGTTACTGCAGACGGTATTCAAACTTGTTTCATTATCTAATTTAATGCCATTTGGATCATACCCCTTCCATTGGCAAATGGTGTCTCTGATCTAATATGTATGCTGCTTAGCTTAGCAACACACCTGTACAGGTACCCTCTGTCATCCATAAGAAAAACCAAAAGCAAGTGTTTATTCAAAATTGCTAAAAATCGGCTTGGGCAGGGGCCTGGGGTTGCGTTTGTTACGCATAACGCATAAAAATCGAATGTGCGAATGACCGAGTGTGTGTGTGTGTGTGTCTAGATGTGTGTGCTTGCGTGTACTAGTCTATTGGGAAAATGCTTCGAAAACGTGTTTTGGAGTAGATAGATAAAGCCGAATCTGAATCGCGGCGCCGACCCTCCGGTTGAAGAGACAACAGTGCCTGCGAGCACGCCGTTGTGCCGAGCTAAGATCGGTTTCTTCATGGGAGAGGGAGGGAAGAAGAAGACGAAGACTTCGTCGGAATGCGAATGCTCCCGATGCGAAACACGGAAAACTAGTTGTGGTGTCGCGTTGTTGTTGTTGCTCTTGTGATTGTTGTACCCGTTTCTGGAGTCGCTGTCGTCGCAAAAATAAACACACTGAAAATAACAACAGGTGAATGCGAATTCAAACGCAAACGAACGCGAATACAAGAAATCAAATTTCTCATACAACATTGTTGTTTCCTGTTTCTTTTGACCAAAACCTGGAGCTACAGCTAAAGGTGAAGGCTCTGCTCTGCAGTAGAGGAGGGTGTGGGTATGTGCTTGTGTTTCTCTGTCTGTGTTTATCATTTGTGAGACATACCGCGTATACGAGCCACTCAGTCGATCTCTTCGATCTTAGCATTTCTTTTCGTCCGTTGTCCGTCTTGCCCGTCTCATCCGTCTTTCGGTTCTGGTCGGCTGGTTCGCAACGCACTTGCGTGCGCCTTTGCTTGACTTGCCTTTATTCCACACAGCCCACTGTACAATGCCCTCCACCTGCCTCTACTGTTGTTATCAGAGCTCGATTTAAGCGCTGCTAGCCGTGGCGCAGTCTAAGGCTCTAGAGCGACGGCCGAAGAATGGTAATCGAATTCGGACTAGTGCCTCACAAATTATCTATCCCATCACAAGAAAAATTGAATGACCGACCCTAAGATACACTGAACTCCCTGATTGGTAAACAGAACGTATAAACCAAATCCAGAAGATATACATGAAACCAAATGGCAAATATTTCACTATAGTACACTCATCAAAATTGAGCTCTACAATTCCATAAATATCTGAATACAACCCAGATGCCTGTCCCATGTTTGTCTGCATGCATACAAGAGGAAAAAGAAAAGCGCAGCTTCTAGACTTACTGAACTTCACTCAGTGTATCCTAATTGCAATTCAGTTACCAGAGTACACTATTGCCTAACGTATTCATGAGTATCTCAATTTTAACGCCTACTGCGCGCAAGCAGAAGAAGGGTCGGCCCATGACCGGAACAATAGGTCCATTGTTTGTGTTTGTGTTCGGGTAAAACATAACACAAAGGATTGACCGACTGCTGTTTGGCTGAACAGACGAAGTGTTTGTTTATTTGTTCGCATCAAGTTTGACCAATCTCAAAGCTAAGTGCAACAGAGCAGAGCAGAGTAGAGGGCAAAGATTGTCAATTGCAAGCTGCAACTGCAAGTGAAACTTGCAATTGGATTACAATCATCGGCCACTTGCTAAGTTCCCAGCTTACGTTCTGAATTGTCATTGCTAAAGCAATAATAAACACTCTTAAGGAATGGTGGCTTCATTTAGATATTTTTTAAGGCTAGGGTGAATATATAATCTTCCATACAAAATTATCGATTCAATCCAAAAGTCTCTTGGACAATAATAATCGAACTCTCCTCGATCAATAACTATTATATGTAAATTAAGGAGTACAGAGTTATATATATATATATATAAGTTTATAGGCGCTATGGTTGTATCGACCTTAGAAAACTATATACGATACTGTAAATTCAGCTATTTGATGTCTTCAATGTATTGAATACTCTTGTAGGCATTCAATTGACTCGTTTAAATTGGACCCTATTAACTTGATATTTTCGTATAAGGAGATGAAACTATGCCTGAGGTAGAGGAGAGGTTGGGACCTATGTTAAATAGCTGAAGATCGGGTTTCAGTCATAACAGATTTCATAAGTACTTATAGTGCATGGTGCCTCGATGGACTCAACCAGGAGAAGAAAAAGCGAATCCAATAAACAAATAAAAATGCGAGTTAACAACTTGGCCTCGATTTTGATGCCGAGCCTCGCTCTCAAATGCGCTTCAACTAACATGTTGTGTGTTGCTTGGCATCGTCATTCCTCTAAAGAGAGGCAAAGTCACTTTTCACGCAGTAGCCCCATTTCCGATTCCCATCCCCATATCAATTCGCAGACGTCAGTTCTTGAAGCAATCCAGTTGCGATCCACAAAATGTGCCGCATGGAGTCGTAGGCCTTTGACGTATCCATGCAATAAGGCCAGTTTCTTATAATTTAAGTTTTCGACTGTAATAGTCGGATCTAGAGCAAGAGCAAGCTATGGAGGTAAACATCATTGCTGAATATTGTATCATTCTCCGACCCTTGGATGTCGTTACGTTGTAAGCGAAAAATCATATCACAACAGCACAACCTTTGATTTTATTGGCTGCATAGCCCGTATGTGTTTATAGATACAGATACAGATGCAGATATAATGTCATGCATGGAATACAGATACACATACAAATATACAAACTGAGATACGGTCACAGATAGGTATACAGATAATACAGATAGATAAAGATACAGATACCGGTCCAGATACAGATATAGATGCATTATAATCTAACGCTAAATTCACTAAATATTCGAAATAGGAATTTGGACCCTGTTGTTCTGTACTGCATGTGTTGGCCAGATGTGGTTCAGATGTTTCGCCTGTGTCATAATCTCATTGTCAAAGACGTTTTGATCTTTTGTCTTTTGTGTCTTGTGTTTTGTGTTCTGTGACGTGAGCTACTTACACTTCCCATGTCGACGTCGGCAGACTCCTCAAAGAGTTTATTTCTGAGTCAGTCAGAGATGCGATTAAATATATATGAATATCCCATAAACATAAGTGTGGCTAGCAGATAAAATAAAAACGGGCTGTGTCCCACTTGTCATCCGAGCGATACGGTCAGACAACACAATACAGATCAAATGGAAACACCCAAATTTAATACCAACGTTCAAATCACTTATGCAGGCGACTCAATCAAGTAAAACAGTGGGTGAAGCAGGCAAAGCTATCTGCTGGCGCACTGGGATCAAAATTTTTGATACCCAATACCCATTGTATATTGTTAAAAGAGGGTATAATATTTTAGTGTCTTGTAACATTGCGTGTCCGTTTGTCTGTTTGAGTACATGAGTAAATGCATGTGTTTGTTAAAATGAATGGAATTCATTTGGAAAAGTTGAGCACGTGGTTCAGTGAATCCTCCAAGTCGGACACTCCCGACTCGAGCGCTCTTACTCGTGTTGGTGGTGTGGCTTGGCTGTACCAATTTAGTTTCCTTTGGACAGCTTGGCTGCTGGCTGGGAAGCAGGAAATTGGGAGCAACCAAGGGTGACGATGTAGGCATTCAACATTTAACATTACTACAACATACAGAGGACAACATATAATATTCATTGATTGGTCAAGTGGTCACATTTCAAGAGTAATTCAAGAACGATAAAAAGACGATCCCTTCTGCGGCAATCGTTAGGCGTATCATCATGTTCATATAAAATGTATGCCAATTGTTAACACACACACACACACATACATGTGTATATATCTAATGAATTCGAAAATATAATGCAAGACATTCGATTTGAGACGTGATTTGTTTCGTAGCTTAATGCTGTCATATAAAACAAACCTCATGAGGATATGTACAGCATTTTTCACAATCGGAAAAAAACGTATTTTATGCTTTGACTTCTTTCGACTGACTTTAAAAATCATTTTAGAATATTTGTTTAGTATCATTTAATGAAAACTTCCTGAAACAAAGATTTCTCCCCATTCGTGATTTTTCCCCTTGAAGTT